GACTGCCCCTCTGAGACATTATAATGCAGTTATTCTGAGATAGGGATCCATGGTTTATGACTTTGGAATAACAAATCAATAGGTTTCAACTTTCTCTTACTACAGAACTTTAATGCTGCCATTCATAAATATAATGCAATTATATACCATCCTGTAGAGAAGCGTTGCTGGGTGTGACGGGCGGGCGGCCTCCACCCTGCGGAGGCAGACCCGCCCTGCACTGACCCTGCGGTCGCGCTTGCGCTCCTGGGGGTGGCCCAGGAAGCGCGGGTTACGTGCAGCCCCTGTACTGCTGCCGCCGCTCAGCTGAGAGGTGGGGGAGGGGCTGGAGAGGCGCGCCAGCCGGTGCACTGAGGCCAGGTGGAGCTACACGCCAGCTGAGACGTGTGTGGCTGGTGACGTCACGCCAGAAGGACGCCGGCGTAGCGTTTAAACCTGGAAGGGAGTCAGCCGGGGAGGGCGAAGGACGCCTGGGAGAGGAAACACCCGAGAAGGGAGGCCCACGGCGTGGGCCGGGTCTCACAGGGACGGCAACAGAACCTGAGAAGGACTGCGGGGTAGGAAGTAGCCCAGGGCGGGGCTTGGAGCCAGTGAGCTGGTGAGTTGCAGGCGCTAGCCCCACCTTAGGGCCCTGGGCTGGGGCCTGTGAGAGAGGGCAGGCCCAGGCCCCCCTACCGTCATGTCCCGGCAATAACAGCCAAACCAAGTGCCTGATGCCGGGGCGAGAGCAAAGAGAGAATACTGAGGACCTACCCTGGGCGGGGAAATACGAGGGTGGGCGGCTAAGTCCGCGTCTGACTAGGATGGGCCGGTGCCCCACTCGTACACTTGGCATGAAACAGTGTAAAGCTCATGTGCACCATTTGAATGGTAAAACCTGCTTTTAAAGGGAAATTATTAATTCTAATACCAAAAGCTCTGATTATCTGGAACATTACTCATGTGAGTGGTACCATTGTTTCACTGGGTTGAAAAGTTATGCACCTCCAGATACATGCAGGATTGGTGGCTTAGACTGGATATCTAGAAAAAATACATGCACAAAATGTGCATCCAAATGATCAGTGCCATTAGTTTAAAATCTCAATAACTGTAAATGGCTCTGGTGTCTCAATGAAAGCTGCAGTTTTACAGCTGCTTCCCAACAGGAAACCCAGTCTGCAAAAACAGAGAGTTTATATCCTCTTATCTTTTCATATGCTGAACTCCCATTGATATCCATAGGAGTGTTTCATGAAAGTCTATGGCAGTAAGATATGGCTTCAAGTTAAAGAGAGGGTATTCTGGAAGTGTCCTAAAGATTTCCTAAATTAGTTTAATTATTTATTATATTCAATAAAAATTTCCCAAGCTATATCTGGTGGCTTTTACATTATTTTAACATCTTGAAGTGTTTTGGTGTTTTTTTAATTGTAATTTTCCTTTTGCATTGCCCAATTTCAGTTACCCGTGAAGCAACTGAATAAATAGAGCAGGAGTTCTCAAACTATGAGTCGGGACCCCAAAGTGGGTCACAGCCCTGTTTTAATGGGTCACCAGGGCTGGCCTCTACTTGAGCCTGGTTCTGAAGCCCAAATGCATCATCTCTGGGCAACAGCGTCGAGGATACAGCCCACCAGACTGGAACTGAAGTCCTTGGCCTTCATCTTTGGCCCCCCTGCCAGGGTGGCGGAGCTTGATGGCGAGCCCAGGTTTTGGTCCCTCTTCCTGTGGTCGTGCAGTAATGTTTGTTGTCAGAAGAGAGTTTCATTGCAATGTAATTTGAGAACCCCTGAATTAGAGGGAGGATGGTTTTGTGGTTAAGGATTGGACGGGATCTGAGGTAATCTGGTTCCAATTTTTGGCTCTTCTATGGACTTCCTTGAACAAATCACTTAATCTTGGTCTGCCTCAATTCCCCATCTATGGTAATAATCATGTTTCCTTTCCCCCTTGTCTAGGAAGACTGTAAATTATTTGGGTCATAGACAATGTCCTAATATGAGTAGTACAGTGCCAAGCACTGTGGGACTTTGATCTTGACAGGTCCACTAGTTGCTGCTGTCATATAAATAATATTGGAACACCTGAACCTGTGTCAGTTAATAAAGTAAAACTCTTCTTAGAATTCAATGGAGATTTATGCTTCACACTGATGGATATAGTCTTTATGGTGCAGGGGATCAAATAACAATTATTGCTGATAAAACTAGTGGCCTTATAAAGTAATAAGCCTGGTAGTGCTGAAAGTGTACACTATAGGGATCAAGTTGAAGTCCCTGTGTATTAAATTATGCCGAGATGACATTTTTAAACCAGTGCCAAAAGCCATTCTTCACTAGATGGCTAAACTTGCAATGAGCTTTTCTGGCACAATGCAGAAAAGAGTCCAAAGAGAGTTAGTAAAAAATAATTAATATGTTACTTTTTGAGTGGGCGGAGAAAATGCAACCGCCACCCCAAAGGAAATCTGTAAAGACTTTAGTTTGGTAGAACACCAGTTCACAGTTCCTAACACATTGTGGGTCTGAAAGTGAATATGACTGTCAGGGAAACGTCTGGGCACCATGGTGTATCATCTCCAGCATGGCACTGAACAGCCTTCACAATCTGGGGGAATGAAACAAAATGGAAGAGGGGGAGACTCGGGTAGGAGACCTGTTACTGCTCAAAAAGCACAGGCTATGGTGCTGTATTTTCAAAAGCTCAGTGCTAGAACTGATGGCAGGTTTTCACTGACTCCCTTTCTCCCTCCAGTCAACAATAGAGTTTGGAACTTGTGGAAAATTATCATTTTGGCCAAAACATTCCTATTGTTCAATACAAAACAAAACCTTTTTAATTTTAGAAAATGGGGGGTTTAGTATTTTTCCTCCTCCCTTTTTCCAATAGAAAAAATACAAAGATGAAAGGAGGGAAAAACACCAACCACAAAAAAAATGTTGTTAAAAACCAAGAAAATTCTGCCTTTTTTTAAAAAAAAAAGAAGCTTTTTTTCTTTAGAAAATGTTCAGAATGAGCCCTTCCCTTGTTCCCAGCCCTGCTCAGCGCCCAATAGCTCCTGTGGGGAGTGGCTAGGTGCTGAGCATTTCTCAAAGGGTATGTCTACACTACAGAATTTTTTTGGGAAAACAGCCATTTTTTCCAAAAAATCTTCAATTATGTCCACACTGCAATTGTGTTCTTCCAAAAGAAAATCAAAAGAGCAGAGGGGTTTTTCCAACATTGGTCATCCTCATTCTATGAAGAAGAAGCCTTTTTCCAAAAGAGCTCTTTTGGAAAAAGGCATGTGTGGATGGGGAAAAGGGAGTTCTTTCTAAAGAAGAAGGAAGGGGGAAAAGCACAGGTTCCCTGGTGGCCACTCCATCCATAGTAATTACAGCTTAAATGTGAGATAGCGTCCATTCTGTGTGGATGCTCTTTCGAAACAGCAGATCGCTTTTTTAATGTGCTTTGGCAGTGTGGATGCTCTCTTTTGGAAGAAGTTTTTCTGGAAGATCTCTTCGGGTGTGTCTAGACTACAGTGGGTTTTTTTCAAAAAAATTGGCCTTTTTTTGAAAAAGCTTTCCCTGCATCTAGACTGCCGCCACGTTCTTTTGAAATTAAATTGATTTACTTATGGTGGTTTTTTTGACCACGGTTAACCTCATTTTACAACGAATAACGCCTTTTTTCAAAAGTGCTCATTTGAAAAAAGGCATTATTAAATGCAAACAGGGCTTTTTCGAAAGAGAGCATCCAGACTGACTTGGGCTACCTCCAGACTGCATCCCGCTAGGTGCGGCTTGCTTTTTCGAAAGAAGTGGTTGCAGTCTAGATGCTCTCTTTCGAAAGAAGCCTGCAGTCTAGAAGTAGCCGAAATCTACCCTTTTCCTTTAGGAGCCTAAATGGGAGCTCACTTCAGCCGTGTTGAAAATCTGTGCCCTAAGAAGGCAAAGAGATTCCGCCTGGTAAACCCCTATAATAATACTTGTGCCCTCTGCCGGTAAGGGTCTCCCTGGACTGGCTTTGGGAACTCGGACAGGAGACTAGAGGGGCGAAAGGGCCAGAGATACCCAGCGCCAACTCTTGTGTGACAATAAATGACTCTCTGGGTGCTCTGAAAACCCGACCGCTCTGGAGCGCACGGTTCGGGCGCGCCCTTGCTCGGTCACTCAGGTGCGTTCCACGCTGGGATCTTGCCGGTTAAAAATGCCTCGTTTACTTCACCTGCACGCAGCCCCCCGGAGAGCCAGACCCTCCCCCATTCAGCCAAACCGCAAATCACCTCACAAAGTCAACCGCAAAACAACCCGCAGTCAGACAGGATCCGCGCAACCAACCCCGCGGTCCAGCAAAGCGGCGCTTCTTTCCTCTCCCAGCAGGCTGCCCGCCGAGGAGCAGGGGGAAAGTTGGGCATCTCCCAAGTTGCCGTGAAGTCAGCAAGGGGCTAAAACAGCCCCGAGGGCTCCGGCACTGAGGTGTCAACTTTCCAGGCTGCTCAAGAGTTTCTCCCGACCTCGCCCGTCCCTTCCCCTGCAGCGCGTCGCCAGGCGGCCTCTCCCTTCTAGTGACCTTCCTACTCCGCTTGGCTAGCGCCGGTGCTGCTGGGCAGGTCTCACCCAGCGCATCTCTAGCCGGGCCGGGCCGTTATTCCTGAGTGGAAGACAATGTGCCTCTTTCCCCCACCCCCTTCCAACAAGCCCCCTTTCGTTGCCTCTGATTTGCCAGATGGGAAACAAAAGCCAAGACGGGAAGGGGGTGAAGGGGCAAGAAAGGGGAACGGAGAGAGTTGAGTGGGAGAAGGAGCCGCTCTGCCCGGGGCCCTGCGGCGCCCTCAACTTTCGCGGGGCCATGCAGGGCGAGGCGACCCTCTCTTACCCGCCCAGCTGCTGGAGAGAAGGGGAGCGCCCCCGTCTCCAATCCGCCTCCCCAGGCACCGCGCGCGCTGAGCGCGAACCAGGTTCCCCCTCTGCCCGCCGCGAGCCCTTTGCACTTTGCAGCCCCTCTGTCCAGACCTGGCCCCGCTCCCCGGCGCTCACCTGCGTGGCTCATCTTCCACAGCCGGCCCCAACTTTCGGCGCGCTCGCCCTCAGATCATGGTCCCGCCAGCCTGGCTCGCGCGCGCCTCCTTCACCCCGAGCCGCTGGAGGAGAAGTTGGGGCGTGGGGCCGGTTGGGCCGTGGGGCCGGTGTGGCCAGCCCACGGGACGGGGAAGGGAGGGGAGAACTAGTCAGTAGTGGCCGGAGCCTCTTTGGCTGGGGGAGGGAGGGCAGAGAGTGGGCTCGGGAAGCGCTCAAAGCCTCTAGCAGCCTGCGCCCTGCTCCATGCTTAGCCTGGCAAGGCTGAGCGCGGTTGCAGGCAGCTTGTAGGGTACCTCTGTGATCGCAGCGCACTGGCCAGGTCTCGCCACCGCCTCCTCCTCCCAGGCATTTCCCTTCCTTTCCTGCAGAGGAAGCCCTTTGGCTCGCTTAGGGATTGAAAGCTGCAGTGAGACAAGGGAGGGAGGCCTGGTTGCCAAACAAACAGATTTAAAGGGACAGCAGCTGTTCTCGCTCCCATCCACTTTGCACCCCCTCCCCCCTCCACACACACTTCAGGATCTTGCATAAGCTCCAGGAGTGGGAACGGGGCTTGCACAAGCAGCAGGGGCAGATGGGCAGAGAGGCAGCCCCCAGCCCAAGGCTTCTCCTCCCTGACAGCATTTGCAAAAGGAAATCATGAATGTGGAAGTTTGTGCCTGGAGCGAAAAGCCCAGGGAACCCTGGCCCGGGTGCTCCGCAGAGCCTACGGCTACAGGGTGCGGAGGAGGATTTAACAAGCGCCACAAAGCACATAGTGTGTCCCTGCCCAGCCTGGGGTGTGCGTGTTACGCGCGGGCAGAGGGGGCAGCTCACGCGCGTACCCCTGACAGGGGACTGGCTTGGCTCGTGGCTGAGCTCAGTTCGCGCCGCTCGGCGCGTCCCTGCAGAGACCCACAGGCGGGTGCCTGGATAAAACGCTCGCTGCCAGCCCCAGGTAGAGTGTCTGGATAATGGGCACGTTCAAGGGCGTGCAAACTAGAGAGGAATAAGTTCCTCACACAAAGCAGCCCCTGTCCGAACACTCCGGGAGCCGGGGGAGGAGGGAGGAAGCCTTGGAAAGGAAAGATACGCGCTGTCTGTCTCCCCTTGTCGCCTCTCTGGTAGCCAGCCCCGCCTCTCTGTGCTCAGCCTTGTCTGCGCAGGAAGAACTGGGGAGACCGCAATTCTCTCCCTTCGCCCGGGCTTCCCACTAAGTGTGTCTATTTTCTGGCTCCACGCGCTCCCTGACTCCCCAGAGGATGAGTCTGTCTGCTCCCCTCCTCCCCCAGCATGTGCGTGTGTTTTGCACTAGTCCTCGCTCACTGGAGCGCTGACCCTGCAGCCCTGACTCAGGAAAGGAAGGGTTACTCTGGCGGACGAGCGTTGTCCGCTCGGCTCCTATGTTCTTACCGGCTCTTAGCGTCCGTCCAAAGCTTCGAGACCTTGGCGCGCTTCCCCATTGTCCTCAGGAATCTCAGTGCGGCTAGAAAATGTCCATTCTATGTAGGTGAGAGGTCCCCTCATGGCAACTCACTATTATGAGCTTATGGGTTTAAGAAGGGGAAACGCTGGTCTCTTGACCCCCCCCCTTTGCAAATCCACCAGCCAAGGGGTTTGGTGTTCATGTGCCTGCTTCAGACTCTAGCCCCATTCACACCTACAAGCCTCTGCACTCGTGCATAGCACAGCAATCTGTTTGGTCCCAAAGATGGCTGGGTCTAACTTGATTTTACTCAGAGCAGCAGAATTTTCAGATGGAAAAGGAGACGCTCCATATACTTGGCCCCAGAGTATCTTACAAGTGACATAAATATTTTATGCACTTAAAAGATTATTTGTTTGGTGGTTTATGGTAAAAGAAAAGTAGCATTAATAAAGGTGGTATATCAGTGAGGTGATAGTGTATAGCAGCTTTATTTCATGTAGCATTGTTTCATGTTTATTTCACTGTAAAGCATCTAATAACTAACATCATCTACCAATTTACAGCATATATCTGAAGAGAGAAGACAAAGACATTCAGAGGCATTCTTCACTGTTGTTTCCTTGTGACTAGTATTAAACAGATTTCACACTAAACAGGTACAGACAACAGGGAAACAAATTCACTAAACTGAGGAGCAAAACAGGACTATTAGACTGTGTTGAGGGCTCCTCAGCTTCTCTGGATAATTTGGTCCTGCATTGCATTCATCACTATGGTATCTGATCACATCAGGCCCTAATCCAATTTAGGTAATTAAATCAAATCAATCTAAGAAATGTTTCCAGGACCACCAGTTTGTGTGAATCCAAAGTGTCTGATAATACAATGTAAAATATAGCATCTGAAAATGAGTTAACTTGATATTTGTTTTTCAAGTAGCACACAGATGGGTTACAGAACAGAGTGTTTGCCATTTTTGCAAGAAACTAAATTTGTCAGAAAAATTGGTCCTGGGGGATTTTGCACCATTGCCCATGAGCAGAATTTATGTCCCCTGCAGATTTCTTTGCTTTCCCAAAGAAAAATGATTTTCTGATGGGTAACCAAAAGGAAGCCGCCAGAGAGGTCAGAGAGGCCCTTCTCTCCAGTGAGCTACACCGAAAATGGAAAAATATTTGACAGATACTTTATTTGAAAAATATTACAAAATTAATAGAATAATTGGTGTCACGAATATTAGACCACACCGAATCTAGCAGAAGCTTGTCCAAAGTTCTCTTCATCCATAATAATTTGCAGTTTTCTACAGGGTAAAGAGAAGTCTGGAAAATTAACTGATCTATATCCCAAATCTCAACATTGTTTTCATGGACAGTGCAATTGAGCTTCCCCCCTCTCTTCTCTTTCAGGAGCCAGAGTGGATAGTTCTCACAATACATATACATTCATTCAATCAATCTATTTTAACTCTGGCATTGATTCAAATATATCCTCTTCATCTCCAGTCACAAAGTCTTGTTTTTTAGAATTTGAAAGGCTCCTGTCCAGGTAAAAGAAACTACTGTTTTTTTCAAAGGAGGTTGTGATTAAATCAATAATTTTCATAAATGAATAATGGAACATAAAAAGGTAAATGACCTACAGCTAGTCTATGTTACTAGATACCACACATTTCTTTGGATATCCAATAAAGTCATGCAATTATATCACTTTACAATTTGTCAAAGCGGTAAGACCAGAGAATACAAAATCCGGCATAGCCACAGCTCTGAGAGTGGCGGTAACAACAACAATCAAAGACATACACAAATGGGCAAAAAAGAAGTAGGGGACTAGAAAGTTGGAAAGAGGGTAAAGCAGAGAGGTCAAGTGGAATGGAAGTATGGCTTTATTTTAGCTACCTCAGCATTCTTTATTCAAACAACTCAAGAAACGGAGTCCAATTTCTTTTAATTCTGTAATGGCTCTCTACATTGATAAGCTATTCTTTCTTTTGCTGAGAACACAGAGAAGTCTGAATATCGCTGCTCTATTCTGGACATAAGTCTATTCTATTTTTGTAAAATCACAGATATAGTAATCATTGAGGCCCACAAGCACCAAAGTATTTATGGCGTGGTTAAAGCCAGTATAACATTGGATATATTTTTCAGCTGAGGTTTGATTGCTGACTATTGATGACTCATGCCTATATTGGGGAGGAGGACACATGACTATCCCACATGTCTCCTCTGCTCAGCAGCCCCCTGCCCTGCACCCAGCCATCAGTTGCTGCACTCTCCCCACCCAACGTTACCTACTGTGGGGTGGGAGGGCTGGATCCTTCACCTCTAACCCAGCATGCTCGGCTGCTCTCCCTGGCAGCTGGGCCCAGGCAGTGAGTGGACGGCATCACATCTCTGACATTGGTTGCTGCTCTGTGCAGCACAGCATCTGCCTGAAACAGCCTGCCTGGGGAGGTGGCCTGCTTCATGCCAGGGCCCTGCTGCTAGGGACCGTGGATGAGCAAGCCAGAAATATGCTGGGAGGAAAGTGGACTCTGGCTCGCATGGTCCCTGTCCCCAGCAGTGGGGACCAGGCAAGATGCAGCTCAGCACTGCCACCTCCCCAGCCTGACTCTCTCAGGCAGCTGCCATGCTACACAGAGCAACAAACCAGAGCAGCTGGCATGAGAAGTGACTAGTGCCACTCCTTCAGCTCCCTGCCCAAGTCTGGCTACCAGGGATGGGCTCATGGTGCCAGGGAGCAGGTGCAGTGGGAGAAAGATAGAGCACCCTTCCCTCCCACTGCCCCAGTGGCAGAGCGAGCAAAAACCAGGGCAGGGGCACTTGATCGCACATGCCCCTCCTCTCCACCGCCCCCTCCCTCCATTGCCTATGGCTGAAGCAAAGCACTACTTTCACCCATGAGTCCATCTCTTTCCATGGCTGTCTGTTGGACATCCCCACAGCATATGCATCAGGGTTCTTTTTTTCTTTACTGCAGCACCAACAAACATCAGAGGAGAAGGTTCCCCTCTTGCACAACCTCTGTAGCATCCAAAATATTTTGAATACAAGCTTTTGCTATATTTCCTGTAGCTTGACAGCCATGAAGTCTTTTTAAGGGCTGTGATAACTCCCCTTTCCACATTTTCACAAAGAAATCTAGGCCAATTGAGTTCCTCTTCCTCAGGAAAGTATCCATAATAGACACAGGCCTGGGGACATTATGAAGCATATTCAAATTTCTCTCTGGTGATCTTTGGGCATCCAGACCAAACTGATATATATATTATATATATATAATGCTTTTTTTGTGATGGTACTGCTCAGTACGCAGTGCCGGCACCTCCAGTGAGAGCTCAACAACTTTTCCCCTGGAGTACCAGCACTTTTTTTTTTTTAAACAAAGAAAGCACTGTTATATGGGGGGAGGAGAGAGAGAGAGAGAGAGAGAGAGAGGCTGATTAGAATATAAAGGAGTATAGACAGAATATTGATTTTTAATATATTAACCCTTCCCCACAGGCTCAGGACAGAGGCTGCCACCTATTTGTATCACTAGTTATTTGAGAGAGTAAAGAATCTGAGTTTATCTTCACTAGTTTATTAACATTTTTAAGTACTTTTATACCAAGTTACTTATATGTGTTAGTTTGCCTATGGAAATTCCATTAAGAAGCCCCACTATATGACAGCGAGGAGATTTCCAATGGTTCCTGTTTTTTTTAATTTATTTTGTAACCAGATATTGCTCTGAATTTTTGAATTAGCAATAGGAGAGTTGGAATAGTGGCTTCTGGTTTGCACATATTCAAAAGGACGTCTGTATATAACATCAGGTTTTATACATGGAATCAAGTTGTATGCTTCAGATATCTGGAAGAATCTGTATAGCTATCGCCAGGGGCTTTAGAGACAAACCAGAGCAAAGGAGACAACAGGTATCCTTGTTTAGTGCCCAGAAGAGGCTGAAGGCATGCCAGGTTACA